TGGAGGAGGGAGTCCTCTTTTCCTATATTGATGTCTATTCTGTAGGAGTTGAATGGAGTGACCGTATGCTCAGGCCACTAAAAGAGTTCACTGACCTCCCCTAATGTGCCCTGTCATGGCTGCTGGCTGACATACACATTCAATTCTGTCTTGCCTACTTTCATTCATAAAAAAAAAGAAAAAAAGAAAAAGAAAAAAAATATATATAATGACATTGTTTCTCCCTGGCTGCAGCAGTCCCGGAGAAAGGGAGCAAGGGGAACGTGAGCTCTGATGAGGGCTTTCAGTGTTTTCGGTTTGCAGTCCCATTCAGAAGCAGCGTAACCATCTGCCTGCCTCCTTCCTACCAACAGCCCCACACCTCCCTGTGGAGATGTTAGGCCCCCAGCCCTCCACCTTCACTAATAGCAAGCATTCATATGAGCAAACATGCACATACCTCCAAAAGAGCCCCCTTCAATGCCCGTTTTATGTTAGCTGAGCACAGGCATAAAGCGTTGGTTGTTACAGCCGCCGGGCCCGTGTGGAGAATTAGATCACTAGGGAAAAATCCTTCCAGGCCTCTTTATGGAAAAATAAGGCCTTCCACTGTAATGGGAAATGCCGGTGTACAACCACCTTCAGTAATGAGCCTGGGTCCCATGGCCCAGTGGATTCAGAGAAAGATTTGGCTGCTGTTTTTCTTCCAACTCATTCAATGTAAAGATCGGGAAGAAGGATGTGTGTGTGTGTCTGTGTGGACGTGTTTATACTCTTTTTGTCCCTTCTCTTTTCCAGGGAAGTTTCCTCATGGATTTGGCCTCGTGGACTAAGGAAGCCCCAGGGTAGTTTCGGAGATCTAGGGTATCTGGAAGGGACCTTACAGAGACCATTTAGCCCAGTGCCATCATTTGACAGAAGAGGAAACCAAAGCTCAGACTAGGGGAGGCACTTGCCCACAGTCCATCACAGAGGAAGTTTAAAGAGCCAGGTTTCAAATTGAGGCACTGACTCCAAATCCAGGGCAATTTCCATAGGAGCTGTCGACAGCTACCTACCACCTATGTGACTTTAGGTGAATCCCTTTTTGCTCTGTTCCTCAGTTTCCCTTTCTGTCAAAGGAGAGCTTCTAAAACCTCACTGACTTCCCAAAAACACTTATTCTTTCCTCGCTTTCCTCTCCAGGGTCTACTTTCATAGAAACTAATTTACCACCTTCCATTTTGTAAGTGGAAACTGAGGCCCAGAAAAGGAAAAGGTATTCACCTAAAGTCATACAAGTGACTTGGGATTTGAACTCAGGTATTAAAACTCGAAAACCAGTGGTGTTTTGTTGTTGTTTCTACTCCTCTAAGTTCCCTCCTTCAGTAATTATGAGGGTGGGGAAGGGAAAATAGTTTACTAGCCATACCCTCCCCACCTCCAAGATCTGGCCCCAAGAGGTTGATTACATTCATTGAAATTTGGTGGCTTTGCAACACTTAGGTATTACAGTAGCAGCCAGAGGGGGGTATGGGAAGTTCTGACTAAGGCTGTCCTCCTGGGTGGGTACAGAACATCCCCTCCCCGGCTGCCTGCCCAGTGGAACATTCCCTCTCACACTGGGAATGCAGTCTTCCCAGCCCAGGAACAGAACTCCCCTTCCCCTGGATTCCCAGAAGGGATCCCAACGTACCCTTGTTACAAAGGGCAATGGATTTTGGAGTCAGAAGACTCAGGCTCCTATACCAGCTAGCAGTGGGTCTGTGGGAAAGTAACTTCACCCCTCTGGTTCCTTTGACCCCCTGTAAAATGAGGGCCATTTACCACCTAGGCCAAGGTACCTTGCAGCTCTACATTAGTAGTGAATTGACTTCTGTCATTTCTATCCCTTTAAGCAGCAACTTTCCTTTTCTCTCTCTCTTTTTTTTTTTTGCCACTTGGTGATAATTTCCTTAACTGTGAGACCCCGGGGGGGCCAGCCCTGAAGGAGAGCTAAGGGAGCAAGGAAACCCCCACAGCAAGCTTAGAACAGGGTTCCATCTAGTTCTCTAACCCAGCTCTTAAACACCAGAGTCATCTGCATTAATGGATTTTTCTGGTGCTGCTGAAAGCAGCCTTATAAATCAATGCATCTGGCTGCTGTAAGTTGGGAGCTATTGGCCCAGTGACTTATGCTAAGACTCTGGAGTCACCCTGATGACAAAACCTAACACCTCCCCTGGCGCAGCCACCCCAACCACCCTATTCCAGCCCCAGGGGAATTTATAGCTTTAACTCCAAGTGGCATCAACAGCGCAGGGATGTGGTTGGAAATTTCTACTACATCCATAGAGCCACACTAGAGAAGCTGCTATAGATCTTGTTGTAGATTCAGAAATAAGTCTGGGCATCTGGGACTGTCTAAGCCATATACAGGATGTCCCAAAAGTCTTAGTGCCATGGATATTGGTGGATTGGTGGATATAGCTAGATACTGGGTGTCCCAAAAAGTCAAAACTGCACTCACGCTTTTGGGACACCCTCTCTCTCTCTCTCTCTCTCTCTCTCACACACACACACACACACACACACATACAGACACACACACACGTTTAAAACAGCACTCAGACCTTTAGGACACACAGTATTTCTCTTTCTCTTCCCCTCTCCCCTGGTCCCCACACATCTGTTTAAGGCTATGAAAGCTTAAAACAGCACTCAGACTTTTGGGACACTCAGTATCCATCTATAACCATATATATGTGTTAGTTTGTGAAGGAGACCCCTGAAGATGGTCCCAGAGAAGAAAGAGATGAGTTCCACAGTTTAGGCTTGAAAATAAACCCTATGAAATTCTAGAGCCAGCCTGCCTAAGATGATTTCTAAGAGATGCCTCACCTATTTCTAAGTGACTCTGATTTCCTAAGGGGCGTCCAAGAGCTACTAGGATTCAGAGCTGAAAGAGGCCTTAAAGATCACCCATCTAGTCCAACCAACTTACTGTCCAGGTGAGGAAACTGAGGTGCAGAGAGAGTGACCCTACCAAGGGTAGCCAGCAGCAAGAGCTGGGACTCAGACCCATATCCTGTGGTTTCAAATTCAGGTCTCTCGGAACTCATAGCCAAGAGTGTCCACTGCCCACTAGATTAAGGAAGTTATTTGGAGTTAAAAGAATGGAGGAGAGAAAAATTGCCTGCTTATGATTCCAGGATGAGCCTTGTCTGTCCCTTAGGCCAAAAGGGCTGCGAACTCCAAATTGGGGGGAAGGGGAGGAGAGAGAATGTAAGCCCCTTCCTCTCTGGTCAGCCACTACATTTACTCCTTTGCCTCTCCCTTCTGACAAACATTCTTTCCCCCCACCCCACCCTCCAACCCTCTGTGAACAATAGAAACTTTCTATGGGGAACACGGGAACTCTTAAAACATTAATGGTGGAAACTGCAATAATAAAAGTTATAATGGCAATAGAATCGCTTCTATTGCCAGGACATGGAGCCTCAGAAAACCAAACAGGATACATACAGGTACCAGCTCCCAGGGCAAGAAGGACAAGAAGGACATTGCCTTCAAATACACTTCTAAAAATGCATCTCTGTTACTAGATGGCTTCTGATATTACTGGTTATATTACCTCTGGGTTGCTAGTTACTCAACTCCTGTAAACATAATTCTCTCTCCTGGTTTTTCTCTCTGGTCAACTCCAGAAAAGTTCAGTGTGAGTGTCTTGAATGAAATTTATAAATGGAATTCCTCCCTGGGACCTCTTTCAGAAGAAGGCTTTCCAATGCACAAATTCTATGCTTCTCTTTCTAGAAGTCCAGGCTAGACTGGGATGAGTTCCATCACAAAGGGATTTCAGCTGGGCTACTAGCAGGAACTGATAAATCTCAGAATCACAGATCAGGTAAGGGACTCCAGAGGTCACCTAGTCCAACATGTCCAGAGCTGGAAATTCTTTCTATAACACCCCCAAGTGGTCTTCCAGCCTCTTTTTGAAGACCACTACTGTCAGGAAGCTCACTACTTATGAAAACAGCAAATTCCTCTTCTGGACAATTCTGATATAGGCAAAGTTTTTTTTTTCTTTCCCCTTTTTATTAAATCCAAACCTGGCTCCGTTGCAGACCTTCCCAGTTCTGCCCAAGGCTTTTTACACAGCTGACCATGCCCTTGCTACCAAGTCTTAGCCAGACTCCACATCATTTTCAGCCTCATTTTCCTTCTGAAGGCAGCAATCACATTAGAGCCGCCTGGGGCATTAAATCAGCCCGAGCAATCACTCGGACACCCAAGTCATAAAATGGGCCCAGGGTCCATCAGGCCAAGCACAAGCGAGAGAAAAGAAGAGCGAAAGCTAAGGCAAATCCAGCCAGTCTGGAGAGTGCTTCGATTTGAGAGTTCAAGACCTTGAATTCCCACAGTTTAAGAAACTCGCTTGCTGAGTCTTCTGGCCCTTTTAAATCTCCTTCGGAGCATCTCCCCACCAGGGCCATGCTTCGAGGCCACCCCCAGCACAGGCTTGCTGGGGTGGGGGTTGGCTGTTTGTAAATGTTTACTCTCTCTGGCTCTCCCTCTCCTACCAGCCTCGGCCAACAGGCTAGGTTATCAATTAACCTGACAAAGGGAGGCCATGGGGGGGAGGGGGGGACTGGGCTTGGCATTTCAGCGTCGTGTTGTGCTGGACCAGGGGAAGAAGGGAGAGAGAAAGAAAAGGCTTTCGTTCCTCCCTGAGTAGGGGTAGAGGAGGAAAAAGAACGTACCGATGGAAACTCCGTAGCAGTCTCCCGGGCTGCGCCCTGAGCGCACTGCACCTGCGGAGCACTACTGGACTGGAGCATGCAGATCCGAGATTCTGCAAATCTAAGGGATGGGGTGGGGGGAGGGAAGTGGACAGCAATTGTCCCTAGGGGAGGAGGAGAGGTTTCACACTGTTCAAATACTCCCAATCTGAACTGGCCCGAGAAAAGGAGGCTGGAAATTTCGGCTCACTGACATAAACCCAGTCTCGACACATTCCCCACAATCTTCCTCCTCCCAATCAATCCCGGGTCCCTGCTTACCTGTGGCTCTTCTGGCAGGACGAGGCTCCAGGTGAGAGATGACCAGCCCCGGACCCGGACCGGCACCGGCACTATTCACTGCCACCGCCAGGTAGAAGACCAAGACGCAGCCCGCGGTCACCATTCCTCCGACTAGGGTCCGGGAGGGCCCGGGAAGCCGCCCGCTTGCAGGTCGGCCAGCCTCAGGCATCCTCCGGCAGCATGCTGGGCTTCGCCTCTCCCCGGAGCTCTCGGCTCTTCCGACCTGGGGCTGGGACCGCTTCGCGACGCCCAGCTTAGTTCCCCGGCAGGAAGGAGACCACGGGGCTCTGCGCTCTGCTGCAGCAGCTAGGGCTTCACAGACTTCGCCCGGGCTGGGTGGTTGTGCGTGTCCCCTGGGGGCTGGAAGCGCGGCTGCTCCAGAGCCCTCGGCTCCGCTCCGTTCTGCAGGGGAGTAAAGGTTCGCTAGCTGCAAAAATCGCATCCGTTTCCCAAAGACAGGGAAAAGATTGCAGGGGGTTTGGAGGCTCAGAGTTAGTTAAAAGGAGGGAAAAGAGCGTGTCTATGCGCGTGGTGGCTTTTTCAAAACTATTAAGTCAGCTACGATTGACTCCTTTACACTGCCTTCAACTGTCAGTCTAGGTCTCCGTGTCTTCCCTTTTCAGCAAAGGGGAAGAAAGTTGCAAGCCAGAGCCTCTTAGAAACCGCCACAAGGCAACCCCCCTCCAGCTCAGGAATGTCCCTTCCTTTGGGGAGGGGAAGGAGCGAGCCTCCGGGCTGTAGCCGTGGCCCCGGGAGAAGGGAAGGGGGGGTGAACCCTCGCCTCCCCGGGAGGCACGTTGGCAGCGCGCTGCGAGCGCGGAGTCCCGGGCCCCGGGCGCGCTAACGCCCGGCGCCCTCCCGGCGCCACCGCCTCCCCAAATCGCTGCTGGCCTCAGAGCCTCTCCCTCTCACTGCTCTTGCTCTCTCTCTCTCAAATCTTTTTTGAAGCATCCCCTTCCCTCCACTGCAGCCTGAGACAGGCAGGCTGCACGCTCCTTCCAAGTTGCCGTATCCCTCCAAATGCAAAATGCAAGAATTCTCTGAAGTCGTAGGATTTCAAGATCTTCTGACCCGCCCCCCCCATGCCACCCCATCCCGGGAAGGAAGCCCAGGAAGGGTATGAGAGCAAACCAGTAAAACGCTCCAGCTTAGCAGAGCAGCCCCAAACAGCTCCCCAGACAGAGAAGGAAACTTGGGAAGAAAAGTCCAGGGGAGGAGGGGGGGAGCCTTGCGGCTCCGTCTACGTCTCCCCCAACCTCAAGCTTGCCTCTCACCAGCCCGCCAGGGGAGAATGCCCTTACCTCGCCGGGCCCCGATCCCGCGGCGGCGGCTCCCCTGCCCAGGATTCTCGGGCGCACAGCTCCTCCTCCTCCTCCTCCTCCTCCTCCTCCTCTGGAGCAAGGGACCGAGCGGCGCCAGCTGCCGCCGCCGTCACCGCACACAGTGCGCCCGGGCCAGCTCTCCAGCGCAGCCCCTGCTACAGCGGCGGCAGTTCCAACCACTTAGCAGCGCGCCGGCCGCGCCCGCCCCGCCTCCTCCCCTGGCCCGCCCCTAACCCCCGCCCCCTCGACCCGCTCCTCCTCAACCCCCTCTCCTTCTCCTCCTTTCCCCCCCTCTCCTCCTCCTCCTCCCTCACGTCTTCTCTGTCTTCCTTCTCCTACGCGCTCTGCTCTAGCCACGGGCGCGCAAAAAGCCCGAGGCGGGAGACCGAGGGAGCAGAGAGAAGTGAGAGATAGAGGGGAAGCCAGGGCTTGTAGGAGGGGGTTATCTAGTTCCGCCCGCCCCCTCCTTTCCCCTCCCCTCTCCTCCCCTTCCCTCTCTTCCCCTCCCTTCTCCTCCCCATTCCCAAGGGGGGGGGAAACGAGTGGGGAGGCCCGCCCAGAATTGAGGGAGACGCCCAATTCTCTGCCTCCCTGCCAGGCTTCCTTCTGCTTAAAGGGATTAAGGCAGAGGAAGGGGACCGGGGGTCCAGCGGGAGGGGGGATTGCAATAATTAAGAGGGTGCACCCGCCTCCAAGGGCGTGAGAGTGAGCCGGAGTTCAGACCAGCCCCTTGTCTTAGGCTAGATAATAGAGAGATTCCCGGCCAAATCCCCACCATCCCCTCGACCCGGGAAATCCTTCCACAATTTAAAACTCCCAGATCTTTGAGTAGAGCTCACCCAACCACTGCTGGCTGTCAGCTCTTTTTTGGGGGGTGGGGAGGGGAGAGTTGGGACCCCTGTAAGAGGGTGAACACTCCCCCACCCCCACCCCCCCACCTCTGGATGGCTCGGAAGGAGAAACATTCTCTCTATTTCAGTATGGTCTCTGGGAAAAAATGGGATTGTTGTGAGCTGAGGGGGGGGGACGGGAAAGTACAGGATGTTGGAAAAAAGAAAAGAAAACTAGTTTTGGATTCCCAATACCCAGGTGAATCCTACATACTTATGTCATAAGCAAGTCATTTAACTTCTTTGGTTCTCAGTTTCCTTATCTGTAAAATGAAGAAGGTGGACTAGGTTCTGTTGACTAAATTTAAAAAAAAGGTGTGTGTATGTGTAGGGGGTGTGTAATGGAAAGAACATCCCTGGTCCCTGTTAAATAAAGGACTTTGTGGGAAAGGAATAGAAGGAGAAAGCTTCATGGTCTCCCAAAGCCGTATGCTCCAGGAATCCCAACATATTAGATTAGGACATCATTGAATCTAGTCCCTTCATTTGATATAAGGCAACTGAGGCCCAGAAAGCTTTGGGAGCTGTCTGGGGCACTCTAAGGGCAGTATTCTCTTCTTCCATGGACGACCTGATGCTTTGTTTTCTGGCTGTGTCCGGTGGGATCTCAGACTTCTTCATTAGACTTTGAGCTCTTCACAGGAGGGGACAAGTAGCAAGTTCCTTAAACATCTGGTCATAGTATCATTGGTTTTAGAATTGGAAGAGACTTTACAGAGAAGAGAGCCTCAGAGGCTCACCGCCTGTTCAGGGAGAAAAAAAAAAGAGGCAGTAGGACGGGGTAAGTCTCTTCCGAATTGAGAGCTGCTGAGGGGAAGGAGCATAGGAGCTCAATGGGAGAGGGGATTTGGGCCAGAGAAATCAGGGAAGGCTGTGTGGAAGAGGTGGGTCTGCATAAACGGTAGCTTTTACTAAGCGCTCACTGTGAAGTGCCCAGCACTGTGGATAGGAATACAAAAAACAAGGCAATTTCTGTTGGAGAAGCCGACAACCTGAGGAGCTTACCTTGGAATACAGGAAAGACCGCACATGTGCTGGACAGGGAGGGGTGTTTAGATCTGGGAAGGCACAGCGATTGTGAGTAGAGTCAGGGCAATTGATTGTCATGCCTTTCTCTCCAACGGTAATGTTGCTTTGATGACTGTTCCTAGAGAAAGAGGTGGAAGGAGAGGGAAGTATGCACCCACTGATGTGGCAAGGGTACAGCATAGTGCCCTCTAGACCCCCCAGATATGGTGAACTGTTACTAATCAGGAGCTTGGGGGAGGGGCAGGGAAGGAGCTAGAGCTGGAAGGATAGGTTCAATGAATCAGGCACATGCACAAAAATTTCCTACTGAATAGACCCTTGAAATAGCTCTGAAGCGCGCGTACACACACACACACACACACACAACACACACACACACACACACACTACAGTTTGGGGGTGAGAGGACGAGGGGCTTCTGGTTGGCCCAGTGCTGTCTCCCAATGGAGTCCCAACATACCACAACAGAACACTGCAATTTAATGCACATTTGTCGAATTCCTTCTGCCCGTCAGTAGCCCTGAGTTCCAGTTTTAGCTCTGCTGCTTACTTCTTGTACAACACTGGACCAGGTAGCTTCACCTCTAAAAGTGGAGGTAAGAAGAAGGAGGTTAGATGGGATTTAAGATATCTTCTTGCTTTAAAAAAAAATCATAGGAATCTTAGGTAAACCACTTGTATTTTCTGAGTTAATCTGTTAAATTATGTTAATAATCTCTCTCCTGCCTGACTTGAAGGGTGGTGAAAAGGAGAATTACATAGGACAAGGTCTGGAGAAGCACTTTTAAAAGTTCTTTATAAGTATTATCAAGGTGGCTCTGAGCACCAGGGCTTGGAAAACTCATCTTCATGAGTTCAATCTGGCCTCAGATACTTACTAACCATGTGACCCTGGACAAATCACTTAACCCTGTTTTGCCTCAGTTTCATCATCTGTAAAATGAGCTGGAGAAGGAAATAGCAAAACACTCCACTATCTCTGCCAAGAAAACCCCAAATGGGGTCACAAAGAGTTGTACATGACTGAAATGACTGAACTACAACAAGCAATTTCTTAGGCAGCTACCTGTAGGCCAAGTGCTGTGCCAGGCTCTGGGGACATAAGACAAAGAGAAAAAAAAAAAGCCAGTCTCTGTTCTTCTGGAACTTATATTTTAATAGGGAGAAAAACTTTCTCTAAATCTGATGCTCTTGTGCTTTGACCTCGGGTTTGGCCTCTGGGGCTCCAGCATTTAGGGTCTGTGTGACCTTAGCCAATTTAATTCAATTCTAATCAGCAACCATTTAGCTACCAGTTGGATTACATACATGGCCTCAGTTGTGTCTTCCAAATCTGTGATTTCCTGTGCTTACAATCCAACTATGGGAAAGACATGGATGAAAAATACCAACTTTGAGACAAGGGAGAATGGAATAAGTTTAAGGAAAGAGGAGGTCTAGGCAAAGGGGATAAAATGTCTGAGGTGAGAAGTCCCTGTCACCTGGTGGTGGGGTGGGGGGTGGGAGTAGAGGAAGGCATCATGGGGCCAGTGGCATCTGAGTTGCTTTTTAAGGATGATACTTCCCTTCTCTGAGAACACTTTCCTCATCTGTAAAAATGGAGATAATAATACACCAGCCATTTTGCAGAAATTCCTCTCAGAAAAGTCTCTGTAAGTTGTGCAGTATAGAAATGTTATTTTTATTACTATCTACTTATAATTGCATCACACTGTAGACACCAGGCACATACATGGTTGTCACCCAAAAGGGACTTCCCCAAAAGGCAGTCATGGCTCTGATGATAAAAACAAAGAAACAAGCAAACAAACAAACAGAAAAAGGTGATAGTTTGAGAAGTACAGATTCTCCAAATCAGCTGAAAAGATTCATCTTAGCCTTATCTCCATACCCCTGAAAAAGAGTCATGGCATCTTACAAAGAGAGGCAGCCAGAAACTGTGGAAAAGACACAGGGTTCTATGTCAAGAGATTGGGGTGAGATTCCTGTTTCAGTCCTTGTGGGTCACGTTCGAAAGAAATCATCATCTGGTGGTCAGTCTTACAGTGATGAACCTCGGCTGAATTGGTCCTCTGAGGACCACAACCTAGTATCAGCACCATAATCTTATCACTGTCTGGGAGCCCTTTTAGCCCTAGCAACATCTGCCATACCTAGGGCTCTGCTGGGATAACCTTTGAGAATCCAAGGTCACCAAGATGTCACACAAGAGACAACTATTGAAGCATTCTACCCCCCTCCCCTAGTTCATCTCAATGTCTCTCCTCCCACTCCCACTCTCCCAAAAAATCCAACCCAACACAGGCCTGGACACATAGTAAGTGAATAATTGCTATTCAATTAGCTAGCTGGGTAACTGGACTAGTGATTTAAATTTCATCTGTAAAATAAAGAAGTTGGGTCACATGGCCCCTACATTTACATCCTTAGGCAAATCACATCTTTCTCTCTGGAAATGAGTTTGCATTTCTATGGTGAGCTTTATAGCTTGGAATCACCTTCCTTATTTACAACAACCCCAGGAGGGCAGAACAAGTATTATATCCATTTTACAGATGAGGAAACTCAAGCTCTGAGAGGAATAAGTTACTGGTAGCCCTGTCCTGGGCTGAAGTTTAGACTACAGAGAGGGTCTTTGCTGATAAGATGTTAATATTACTTCCCATGAAGAGGTAAGAGACCGTGATGTCAAATATAGCACAATTCCCTTCCCCTCCTAGAGGCATAGGGACTGGAACAGGTATAGAAGTTTTCTCTCCCAGTGCAGGTTAGCACCTTCTCTGCAAGAAAATTGCCTAGACCTTCAAGAAATTAAGCATTTTGCCTGGTCACACAGCCAAAACATGGCAAAAATAGGACTCAGCCCAAGTCGTCTTGGCCCTGGGGGCTAGTTCATTCTCCACTACAGCATGCTGCCTCCTCCAAAGCCACCTCTAGTATTTTCCCCCACTTCCATCATGCCTCCTGCCTCAGAGCTGAAAACCTTCCTGGGTTCATTTTAGTATTTAAGTAACTCTTTTCTTTAATGCAGTTGAATTCATGGATTTCCTAGAGGGAAAAGATATCATACATCATCAGAGCTGGCACGGGAGTGAGAAGAGAGAAGGTCAGAACTGGATGGGGCTTTTGAGATAACCTAGCTCCTCTTCTTCATTTTATACTTGGCATCAAGACTCGAATCCAGGATGAAAAGAGACATGCTCAAGGAGTCAACGGCAGAGGTGGACCGGACAGTCCTTTCTCCTGACTTCAAATCCCGGGCTC